ATATGTGCTAGTCGTTCCTGACTCTAGGGGGCAGTGCTCATCTCCGTTTCAAAGCCAGAAGAGCCAGCGCTGTCCGAAGACGTCTCCGTGGTCATGTGGCCGGCATGACTAAACGCCAAAGGCACACGGAACGCTGTTACCTTCCCACCAAAGGTGGTCCCTATTTTTCTACTTGCCTTTTTTACGTGCTTTCGAACTGCTAGGTTGGCACAAGCTGGGACAAGTAACGGGAGCTCACTCCGTTACGTGGCACTGGGGATTCGAACCACTGAACTGCCGACCTTCCGATCGACAAGCTCAGCGTCTTAGCCACTGAGCCACCACGTCCCTGTCTTTAATTAATTTTAATTGAATTTAATTTTTACTACAGTTTAAATGGTACTCTAATCCAAACAAAGGCTCTAAGTGGCTTAAATGTCATTGCAAACATTTGAATAGAAATAACGGCCAACAAATAGCAAAACAGAACAGCAGGAACAGTCAGTTAACTTCCAGCCCCATAGCAGGAGAAGCCTTCTCATCCCAAATCTATTTCTCGAATGCTTTTGAATGACCAGGTTTTTAATGGCTATCCAAAACACAATAGTTTTGCTAGGCCAGTTTTCTTGCAGTGAGGACATGTGCTTGAGGGCATTTCAGTACGCATGAATAGTTTGTTGGAATTGGGCTTTCATGGGAGAGAACACTGTTGTGTTGCATCTTAGCAGCATGGGGAATTGGTCCACCTGAGTCAGTTGCTTGCTTTGCTTGGGCGACTAGAACTTTTAAGGAATTTATTTCTCACATTAAAAATGGTGAGAAAGAAATCCCTAATTTGAGAAATAAAATGTAATAGGTCCAAGATTCTGCAAGGTAAAAATACAAATGGCATCCATGGAAGCCAAATGGAAATGGCTTCTTCTAACTGGACTGTGTTTAGCGTGAGTGACATCAAAGGATTTGGTTGCTTGAGGCTCCTTGCTTGCCCTCAAACCAGTGGACGTTTACTTGCTATTAGGTCAGGAAAAAGAAGATATACTAATAGAAAACTATTGATCTATACAGATATCTATCTGAGAAGGCTTGAGAAGATAAAATAAAAACCAGTGGTTAATCAGCAAATGAGTTTAACTTAGGCTCCTATTCTGTTTGCAGTACCTGCACTTCAACACTGAAGAAATCTTTGTGAACGAACTTACCTTCACTCCAGCTCTCGCTTCCTTTTCATAAGGGAAAAAACCTGCCTCCATTCCAGACGCAGCTGTGTCTAAGCAGAGACTTGGCTTGATTGACAGGTGCAGTGCGACTTTGCTCCTCTCTGCTGTCAGATATGAAATATTGGGGTATATCTGAAATCCGCAGGGCTGTTTCTCCTCTGGAACTCAAGACAACGCAAAGGAGGTCTGCTGAAACCCCCCCCCCATGCTTTTAAATTGGGGTGAAAAATCCATAACTTTCCAGATGGGTTTCCAATATCTCTTAACTTTGGAGATACTCACGGGGAATGTGAGAGTTGATAACTGCAAGTTATCAGGTTGCAGAATTGTTTCCTTTTTGATGGATATGCTGAGGATCTTTGCTTTATTTTGCATTGAGGATAGATTTTGTATCCTAATCTTGATTGTAAACTGTCCTTAATTGGTTTTAATAGAAAAAAGGGATTGTGATTATTGATTACAAACAGATTGAAGAAGAGCTACTAAAGGGACATTTATCCTATAGCCAGTTTCTTCTCAATTTGGATTAGTCTTGTAATTACCCTTTCCATTCACACGCCTGTCTTGGTTTTCTACTTTGAGGTAGTAGTTTGCTGCTTATAATACCTATGATTAACATGGACTTGAGTGACTAAACTGCTCATTTGTTTCTTCTTATGGATATGCCTCCCCCGTCATTAGAGAACAATTTAACAGAAAATGTTCATCTAGTGAAAACAGCTACTGAGAGTTAGGCTTTAACCAGGAGCAAGTCCCTAGAGCTGATGTAAATTAATTGCTGACAGAAAACTCTTGCATGAAGAATAGCAGGGACATTGCATTTACCCCTGAGGGTCTAATTTTGCGATCTGAGATAGAATTAACCCTAATTTATTTCTGTATGCTGCTCCCTATGGACTAGTTTGACTGAGAGCAAGTGAGCTATAAATACAGTAAAAGTATATAAAGAGCAATAAATGTAGGCACACACATCATAAATTCCATACACAGAAATATAGAGTGTCTACTGCAGTTGAAATTTGAAGTTCTCAGTGCTGAAGAGCAATTGCTACTTGGAATTTGAGTAATGGTTGTAGCAGGGTATATATTTTACCAAAGCTGCTTACAGTCTGACTATGTTGCTGTCTTCTTGTTCTCTTTAAATATATTTTATTCAAGCTCTCTGTTCTGTACATCTGTGTGACCACCCACAACATTTTCTCCCAGAGGAAGACAATATCACTTAATTAAACAGTCAGTTTATCACATGATTTTAATGTGCAGGGGGTGACCTCAGAGCCATTATTCTCCCATTTAATCAGGCAAATCACAAATAGATCTTGACAAATCGGCATCCTAATGTGCTGTATTGCCATACTGCAACTCCTCCTGCAACTCCAGTTCCTTTCAGCCTTAGCTGGCATGGTTAGAGATGATAATCCAAGATCTGGAGCAGAGATGTCAAACTCAATGTCATCACGGCAGTGTCATGTCACATATCAGGACTTTTTTCCCCTCTGCTAAACCAGGTGTGGGCGTGGCCAGCTCGTGACGCATCCGGCCCACGGGCCGGGAGTTTGACAGCCCTGGTCTGGAGGATAAAAGAAAGGGATTTATGAATTAAAGGATCAGTTGTCTTGCAAAAGTAGATGAATACTTTGTTAGTGAAGAAGTACTTTAATAGACCAATTTGTATAACACGCAATCTCTTTATGCAAGAGGATTTGACTTCTCTGACATCTGTCATTTTCAAATGTGCAATCTTCCAATACTTATAGACTAGTCCTAGTTTTTTTTGTGAAGCTTCTTCCCATTCTTCCTTGGGGATGAGAAATTACTAATAGCACAGAGGAACTGATTGACCTAGACTGTCTCTGGTTCTACCACAGCTGCGGAAGTTCTGTCTATACAGGTAGTCTTTGACTTATGACTGTAATGGAACCTTCCCATTACTGTCATTAGTCATGACAGTCATGAAGCGGGTCATCCATCCAATTTTATGACCTCCTTTGTAGCGATTGTTAAGCCATTGTTAAGTGAAATGTTAAGTTAAGTTAAGCAGCTTTAAAGTGACACCCACAGTCATAAAGCAAACCCATTGATCGCTATGGGTTGTTTTTGCCAAAAATTGGGCGTAAATAACAGTTGTTGGCAAAAACATAAAACATAGTCATATGACTGCAGAATGCCGTAAACTGCTGTAAATGGAGGCTAGTTGCCGAGCGCCCGACATGCAGTCACATGATCATGGTGGAGGCTTCGTACTTTAGAGTACCTTTAGAGGAGGTCCTTCATAACTTTGAATGGTCATTAAGTGACCAGTCATAAGGGGACTATTTTTATTGCCGTGGGTCAAGACTTCAAGTACATTCTATAACCTCTTGGTCCCTTGCACGAGGTCTGGGAGCAAATATTCCTGCTGATATACTGTATTCCTTAGCTACCATCAATATTTCTTCCCTACCTAATTTATAAGGATGATTCTAACATACTTTCAACTTTCCAAATGACCTCACAGACATTTATGGATTTGGGGACTATAAAGGAAGGGGATAACAGAGAAAAGGGGGAGGTGAAAGAATAAGATGGTAACTACTTGGTAGAAAGGACAGAAGTCATAATTCTATTTTTTTTTCTTTTGTTCCTTTGATTCTTTATTTTTAATAGTTTTTAAACATTCTAATAAGTTTAAAATAAATTCCAAATGTCCTCACAGGCCCAAAACAATTGGAGACCCTTGCACTACGTCTTAACGCTAATAAACCATAAGTGTCTGTGCAAGCAAACCAGAAGAGATCCTTTAGCAGTTTAGCTGATACCACTGAGTGATACATCTACATTCATAATTTTGGGGCAGCAGTCCCTAATTTTTTAAGCTTATCCTCGTAATAGTAATTTAAAACTCGTTATGATGTGATGAATATTCATTGAATATGTCAATTAGGGAGCATAAGGGCATCAACTTCTGCACTACATTGACTCAGATTATTGATTCATCCAGCTCAATATCTACACTGATTTATAAGGCTCTTTGGGTTTTCAGAAAAAGTTGGTCTCTAACTTTATCTGGAAAGAACAAGCAGTATGTCTTAGTCTGTTCGGAATTATTAACATCTCACTACCCAACGATAATTCCCACTGAAGCACCCATTATCCAGAAAAAGTTTGAAATGCTTCCTGATTTGTCTCTTAGCTGACCAGAAGTAACAAGGCAGGAACCTCCCTGGTGAAGAGGTTGAGTTAGAGCACGGGATATGCACTGCCTCCTCTCTTCTCTGGTCATTAGGATCTCCCCACAAGAATGGGAGGAATGTGTAATAATATTTCAGTCAAATTTCCTGTTGGACAGTTTACTTGTGGTTTTGCTTCAGATGCAGTTCAGTTATCCCATATGTGTATGTGTATGAAACTGGGATTGAGATTAAACAAGTTTTGTTTAATTTGTCTCTTTCAGTCAAGAAGGTGCAAACAAATCATTGCCAGCCAGAGATTGGACATGTTCTGTAGTGTTGTAGGTCATGCACACAGATGAAAGCCGGTCTCCAATATCCATTTGGGTCTGTTGTCTTTTTTTCTTCCTCAGAATCACCCGCATGAAGCGCAACTTACACTCCTCTGACTCTCTCTCCAATGGCTTCTCCTCACCTTCTCCAGATCGAGACCCTTCAAATGGGGGTAGCAGTGAGGACATCCTACCTTTCTCGGGTACCCTGACAACAGTGATTGCTTCTTGCAGGAGAAGGTTAGGAAGGAGGGCCATGGCTGAGAATCGGAGCACTATTAAGGTGGATCTTCCCAATCAACAGCGAACAGTGGTGAGTTGGCCATTTAGAAAGCTCTGAAGAGCAAAGGATTTGGTGCTTCCAGTTGATTAGAATGCTCGGTATCCTGTAAGAGAGGGATACAGTTCCTCTCACTTTCCAGGTGCTTTGGACTACAACTTCCAACATCTATGGCCTGGTTGGCTAGGAATGATGGAATCCAACAACAACTGGAGTCTCAAGTTCTCTACATCTGCATGAAAATGATGAGTTGTTCCCCCCTCCATCAAAAGTGGGCCGTGCCCAGTAAAATCCCCACTCTTTTTATGTTTGTTTACCTTTTTGAAGGAAAGGAAAAAAATATGGAGATAGAGATTGAGAGAATAGCAGACAGAAAGGGAGAGAAGGAAAATCTCAAAGAGGAAGAGTGAAAGAGACAAAGGAGGACATATGTGGTAATAAATATATGTAGATCATATTGTTTGCAAGTTAGAGTTGAAAGTAAATCTTGCTGGTTTCTTTTATAATGAATCAGTTGCTTTGTTCTGTTTTTTAAAAATAATCAGCTTTTGTTTAATTTTATGATAGTTCTAAAACAAGCAATTTATTTTTGTAATTTGTCATCAGTTTAAAATTTAGAAAAATAAGCTCTTAAGTAATTCTAATAAATGCTGAGCCAAAGACACAACAGAACAATGACTACATTTTTATCTGTATTGAAAGAGAACTGAGGCTGAGTCCAACAATCCAGTGAAAGCAGGGAGTTCCCAATCCCATCACAATTAAACCTGGACCAAAATTAGTACCTTAAGAGAATAAAATTTGCTAAAACTTCAAGCTGTTGAGTTTACTTTTGAAATTTCATTTTACATTTTTGATCAAGCATGGGTTCTGGTTAGTCATCTGAACCTGAGCAGAAGTTCCTCTGGCCACAACCTCCACCTGCTGATCAGGCAGAAACCATCAGTGCTGGAGGACCCGTCATAGACATCCTTCAAGGAAAATGCAACAAAATTCAACATGAAAGACATGATCAAGCCAGAGTAGCTGTAAACAAACAGTGCCTCCATCCTATTAGGATTCAGTTTCTGCTTGTTTAGGCTCATCCACACCCTTTCCAAACATCAGCTAAGGATCTCCATTACATCCATGAGTTAATCTAGGCTTGAGATTTATAACTATGATTTTTTTTTTTGCCTGCACAGAAAAAAACTTGGTAAGAGCATCATCCAGCTTTGTGACAGCCCACCCCCATCCAAGCCTACCAATTTCCTCCTCATTCAACTTTAATCATCAGAATCCATAGTGACTAAGGTCCAGCTAGAAACTGGGCGGCCATAAATTTTAGCCCCCCCGTCCCCCTTAGGTATAAAACCTGGCTGGGTGACTTTGGTCCAATCACTGGATCTTAGCCAACCTCCCAAAATGATGGGTGACTTCTATAGAGATGTTAAATAACATGGGGCAGATAGATGGGCCTTGTGTAGCGACTCCTCCCTCTTAATTACTATATAGCAGTGGTCCCCAACCTTTTTATCGCCGCGGCCCGCTGAGCGCGCGCAGGGGTGGGGGCATGGCCCAGGAGCTTTTGCGCACGGCCCATTGCGCACGGCCCAGGAGCTTTTGCGCACGGCCCAGGAGCCTTTGCGCTGCAGCGTTCATGTCCCCCGGCCGCTGCGCGGCCCGGTGCCAGGTACTCCACAGCCCGGCACCGGTCCGCGGACCGGGGGTTGGGGACCACTGCTATATAGAACTCGCTGCTCAGGATTATGTGGAACCACTATAAAATTCTGTCTTCCACTTCCAAACCATGCCAAGAAGGCAGTCCAAGAATACACCATGATTAGTGGCAGTGAATACTGCCAAGAGGTCCAATAATATCAGGAAGGCCACAATTTCTCTATATGAGTCTTCGCTGCGGTTATCTATCATAGCAATCAATGTACAGTAGTTTCCATCTTATTCAGCTCTGAATCCTAACAGAATGATAAGCCACTTCCTGTAAAATCCTTTGCAACTGTTGCCCTAATCAATGTATTAGTCATTATGTGCCAGGATTCTCTCCAGCTTCAGTGAACCACAATGGATTTCATTTTAGCAGCATTATTTAGGATTGTGGTTTCTACTCTTATTCAGATGACCAGTAGGCTGAGAACTATATTGTAGGGATCAGGGAACAAGAGGTAGAATTTAAAACCAGATAGAACCTCAGTGGGAAATGGGAATCAAAGGATTAATTTGGCATCGCCAGGTCTCGCTGTTTTAGCAGAGTAAGGAAGATACTTAGGTATGATTCACACCCTGGCCAGTGTCTCTTTTCACTTTTACCATTGGGCAGAAGACACCGAAGTATAGCCAGCTGGACAAACAGGTTTAAAAACAGCTTCTACCCATGGGCTGTCAGACTCCTAAACACAATCACAATCACTCCACGTACATATGGGAACGTATGCCTAGATTTTTCCCCAATTACTTGTATAAGGATTATCCTCTATACTATTCATGTTGTCTTGTATTTTTGTTATGGATTGCACCAGTAGAGGCTAAACCAATTTCGTTGTATATATGATGTACAATGACAATAAAGGCTATTATTATTTTTTTTTTAAAAAAAAAACCATGACCCTACACACTGCCGATCATATGACTACTCTGCTGTTTCCTTCTAGGTCACTGTCCGGCCAGGTATGACTGTATATGACTCCCTAGACAAAGCCCTGAAAGTGCGTGGACTTAACCAGGACTGCTGTGTTGTTTACAGAAAAAGGGGTGATGGGTAAGTAACCCCGGTGAGGAGATTGATATGAGAAGGAATTGGAGGAAACATGAGCGGAGCTAGTTGTATATAGACCAAAAACTGTCTCCTGCCACTCTTAAAAATGGACAGATCATCTTCAGTTTGTTTCATTCTCTGTGGTTTTTGCGAGCATTCCTCGTAAGTAGCATAAATAAATATCTAGAAACAAATTCCAAACAAACTCCAAACTCCAAATAAACTTTACACACCAAAGTTTACATGCTTTCACAAGGAATTACTCACTGGACCAAATGTTTGCCTACTGGTAGCAATTCCATCTCCAGCTTTCATTAATTAGGCCACGAGGCTCTAGTGTTTAGTTGTAAAGAGAAAAGAAGAGAACAGTCCAGTCACTGAAGTATGAAGGTCGATCAGTTCTGAGGCTCAGACTGGTAAATCTGGAATTTGGTCCCAATTTTTAGAGTGAAGAAGGGTTGCTTTCCAATTAGCCCTTTTGCCCTGTCCCTATTCCACACAGTCTTTCCTCACAGCCCACTTTCTTTCATTTAGCAGAACTTCCCCTTCAACCAATGTCTGGAGAGCACACTTGCTCTCCAGACATATGTGAGATTTTAATTTCATCTAATTTGACAATTCCCCCTTCTCTCACAGCATTCGTGTGCCGACATTTAGTATGTTTTGTTTCCTGAGCTGTTGTAATATTTGTCAACATTAACATTCCATAGTGAGGTCAGAACTTCTTCCTCATTTTCCCAAACATAATATGGAAAAAAAGCAGATACAGTGGAGAATAATTAGAGGGCCCAAATGTAGACAAAGGGCTATAGTGTTGTTGAAAAAAGATACTTGTTTCCTCACTGTGTGTTGAAGGTTGTTTATCCATTAACAGTTTTGCTGTGGTAAGGCAGTGGTGAAATCTGAACCGGTTTGCTACCGGTTTGCTGGCCGCGCATGCGCTCTGCATGCCAAACACGCGCTGCATGTGCATGTGCAGTACACGCCAAAAGGAGGCTTGGGAAAGTAGAACAGTGAGGGGGGTCAGCTGTGCTGCACGATTTAGCTTCGCTAGAAAGTAGGATTTCCTGCTTTCTAGCAAAGCTAAACCAGTCAGCAGAGCTGAACTTCGGAAATACCAGTTCGACCAAACCGGTAGCATTTCACCCCTGTGGTAAGGTAATATTTCAGGCAAAGGAGAGGATTTCATATTTTGATTCCCTAAATCTGCACCCTGAATACTAGGGACCTACATGGAACTCACATGTGAACACATTTTAAATTGGTCTCTCTAAAATGGGTAATTTTGCCCCTGAGGAGCAAGTATGATTTCAGAGTTGAATTGGAAGGAATGTTAGATTGGTAGACTTGGGGTCACCAAGTTAGATGGTGCTTAGTACCTTGTTTTTTATTTTCTTCTATGCAGGCGAAAAACCATCACAGATTGGGAGACAGACTTGGTCAATCTGGAAGGGGCTGAGCTTTCTGTAGAAGTTCTGGAGAATGTTCCTCTTACTATGCACAATTTTGTGAGTCCTGCAAAACTCTGCAAAATCATATTACTCTACTTGCGTGGGATAGTTCTTTTCCAGAATAATGTGTAAAGTGAATGAGGGATCTGCAGCCCTGCAGATATTCTTGGATCAAAGTCTTCCTCATTGATGATTGTATGTCTTATTGGCTGGCCAGGAGTGATGAACATGGGAGGCCAGCAGCATGGCTGGAAGTTTCCCATCTTACAAAAATGCTTTAACGTCCTCTGTCCCTAAAATCAACTACAGCAACTCAAAATTCCTGTGCTGTTCCACTGTTCAGCAAAATCACTGGATTCTATTACCACAGCCAAGAGCATGAAAGACTTTGATAGTCTGAACTGATTTGTTTCTGAATGGATATGACTTTGGATAATTTTTCCAAATCTCATCACATAACCTAGGGGTCAGCAACCTGTGGCTCCGGAGCCGGATGCGGCTCTTTGGGCCCTCAGCTGTGGCTCCCTGTCAGGTGATCCCACCACTGGCTGGCCTCGCCCCTCGCCCTCCCCTCCCAGTCATTGCTTGCCTGGCCTGAGAAGGTAAGGGCGATAGCGGGGGAAGGAGAAGCGGCCAGGGCAGAGACAGAGAGATACAGAGAGAGGGGGAGACAGAGAGACATAGATACAGAGCGAGAGGGAGAGAGGGGGGAGGGAGGGAGGGAGGGGAGAGAGAGATATGTCAAAAGGATTTTGTGGTTCCCGGTGTTTTTTAACAACTGGTTCTCTGCCCTAATTACCAGCTGGGGTTGGCGTGGCTAGGGGGTCATGTGACTGGTGGAAGTGAGTGACATCAAGTTGGCCACCCCCACCCAGGTTTGTGGCTCCTGGTGTTTTCTTTTCCGTGGGAAACGGGTCCAAATGGCTCTTTGAGTATTTAAAGTTGCAGACCCCTGACATAACCTCACTGTTTACTGCTGACCATCAGGCAGATAACCAAACCTTCCTCCTCCATTTCGCCTTTCATATTCCTAACCTATTTCTTTGTACAGGTCCGCAAGACCTATTTCAATTTGGCCTTTTGCGATTTCTGCCTTAAGTTCATATTCCACGGCTTTCGATGTCAAACATGTGGCTACAAGTTCCACGAACACTGCAGTAGCAAAGTGCCTACAGTATGCGTGGACCTGGCTACAACCCACAAACCGTGAGTATCCCTCCCTTCGGGGCCCCCCCTTTCACCTGCTGTGAAGATGAGCTCATAAAAAAAAATTGGTCTCATTGGTTTGGTATTGAAGACAATTTTTCTCCCTTGTAGTGTTTACAGCCATGAATTGTGTCAAGACCATATCCCCACAACCTTTATCCAGCCTAGCTACAAACCCATGACCCCTCAAGCAGTCAGGTAAGACACTTGTTCATTAGGCAGCTGCATTGGGAGAGGTGAACTGGAACTCTCCACCAGGGAGTAGTATGAAGCCAGAGAGAACAATGCTTAATTTGCACTCCACTAGTAATGTCAACATATGTTAGGACAGCAGCACAGCCATTGGCAATCCTTTGGAGTCATTATGCCAACACATCTGGAAAGCATCCAGATAAAAATGCAAGCGC